TGTATGTATGTATGTATGTATGTATATGTGTGTGTATGTGTATCTACATCTATATCTATCTAAGCAAACTATAGTTATCCAACTACATTTATACTATAGTTGACAAGAGTTGCTCTGCCTATATATATTACTCTTATTATTTTTGTTTATATTTTATTTGCACAAGTGTCTTTCATTAGGTTCAACATAGTCAGACTATATAAAGTGTGTCTTGTTCATTATCCTATCAGGATTTTCTTAAAAGTACCATTAAAATTATTGGTTTTAATTTTGGATTACCTATTATGTTACCACTCCATTTTCTCTTCTTCTTTTCTTCTTCAGAACAAATACTGGGCTTTATTCTCATACTCTGCACACAGGCTTCCCTGGAAGAGCATTGAACCAACATGCTCACTTTGAGAGGGGGTGTGCTTGTCATTGATGATGATAAAACACCCTTTTCTGACTTCACCCCTTCTCACTGGGCCACTTCGATTAAAAACTGCCCAGACCAAATTTTTTCTCAATCCGCAACTGGTGATATCACCACTTGGGATCCGGTGGTCCAGGCAGCTTTGTGGAGTTATTTTTACTTGCTAATGTCTCCTGCAGGTGCCGCCATATTCTTTCTTCAGCTTTTGGTGCTTTATCCACTAGACTCCTGTGAGAGTAAAACACTAATATCTATGGAAGATCCTGCAAGAATGCAACAGCCTCCAAGAATATGTTCTCGTGATGAGCATGATAATGTCTGGGAGATGTGACAAATCTTGATGGCGGTAGCTCGGCCTTTTGTCAAGTTTTATCATGGTAGAAGTTTACCGTAAAACATAGCAGTCTTTTGACACAATCTTTGTGAGCATTTGAAAATTTTTTTATCTTTATGAAATGCTTCATTTTTATTTACCTTTTTTTGTGCCAGAGCTTCTTTAAGTTCATATGGTATTGGAAGTATTCATTTATAGAACATAATGTTACCATCCCTTCAATGAGTGAGGTAACATTTGGATACACTGAAAACATGTTACCATGCAGATAAGGTGGCATGGTAAATATGGTTGTTTTTGTAATAAAAATACACAAATATAATGAAAGAACTCACGGTACATGGTATAATACTTTCCCTGATTCCTTAAAGGGACACTATAGTCACCAGAACAACTACAGCTTATTGAATTTGTTCTGGTGAGTAGAATCATCCCTTCAGGTTTTTGCTGTAAACACTGTCTTTTCAGAGAAAATGCAGTGTTTACATTACAGCCTAGTGATAACTTCACTGGCCACTCCTCAGATGGCTGTTAGAGATCCTTCCTGGGTCATGGCTGCCTAAAATGTATCCAAACATTCAGTATCTCCTCCCTCTGCATGCAGACACTGAACTTTCCTCATAGAGATTCATTGATTCAATTCATCTCTATGAGGAGATGCTGATTGGCCAGGGCCTCTTTGTCAGTCTCCGCTAATCCTATGGTGAAGCATTGTGATTGGATCAGGCTACCACTTCTGATGTCAGCAGACTGCTTGTTTGTTTTTTAGGCAAACAGCATGCAGATCTACAGCTTCAGGCTTGAATACAGTAATATTTTGCTATATTTATGGAGGCATGAGGGATCCAGGGGGGCTAGATCGTGGTTTTAACACTATAGGGTCAGGAATACATGTTTGTGTTCCTGACCCTATAGTGATCCTTTACATAGGTTTGAACACAGCAGCCAGCAAGCCTATTGACTGGGGGGAGGGGACAATCTTCCGCTTCTCAACACCTGCACCTAAGTTATCAGCAGGCATCTGTCCCTTTCACCCAGATCCGATGTATTTTTTGTTTGGTTTTATCTTTTATTTTTAACTCCATTAATTTGTAGTTAGCAGATCTGTATCCTTTTATTTACATATTGATTTACTAGCATTCTTTATTTTAGTATGTGTTTATTTTCATGGCTAGCTCATGAGCAGTTACTGGGCTATTTCACCGTAATTCAAAGATAGTTTGGATATGCTTTAATTTAATTGCCCATCAATACCATTAGTAAATATGATGAACCATTTCATGAGTGCTCAATTATTAAAGATTACCGGAAGATGGTTAGTTCGTAATAATAATACAAAAATTGTTTTAATAAGATAACTGAATACATAATGAATGAATGGATGATTTAAGTTTGTTAGAGTTATTATGGAGGATGTCTGCGGGTGTTAATTAACCTACCATTAAATTAATACATTTTAGTGTAAAACAGGAATGACAAACCTGCTATGTAGATTTGAATAGCAAATTCCATTTTATGCAGAATGAAACAGATATTTTTGTTGAATTGTCAAAAGTCCAGTTTACTAAAAACTAAATACAAAAATTCCGTATACTATGTTAAAATATTTGATATCTGTTATCAAAAGCGGAGTTAAATATACAACCCTTGGATTTTAAAAACACACTGGAATTTCAAAGACTAGTAATTATTGTTTACTTTGTGTATTTATTAATTTTCCTTTTTATCCTATTATGTTATTATGCTTCTTTACTAGACAAAAATTAGTTATCAACCGGGCCATAGTTACCCTGCTGCACAATGGTCAATCGTCTCAGTATATCCCCCAGCTGATAGATGGGCTTTCTTTCTCTCTCTCTCTCTCTTGCCATCTCTCTCTCTCTCTCTCTCTCTTGCCATCTCTCTCTCTCTCGCCATCTCTCTCTCTCTCTTGCCACCTCTCTCTCGCTCTCTTGCCACCTCTCTCTCGCTCTCTTGCCACCTCTCTACCACCTACACCCCTGATCTTGGTGGCCTTGTGGGGAATCTTGCCCAGGTTATCATAGTGTTTTGTTTGGTTTATTTCTCAGAAAATTCCACAAATCTGTTTTTTCCACGTGCCTATAGCAGTCATGATAGCAGCCAGATGACTTGAAGAACATGGATGGTTTTCAGGGCCAGGTTAAGAGCTCAGTGGGCCTGGTGCTGACAATTATGATGGGCATAATTACAGACTCTTATTGACCAAAAACACTAAAATAGTCATACCTCCCAATAGTCATGTATCTGGCGGAAGTGTTGCTGAAGGGAAACTCAGGATAGGGAAAATAGTAGACATGTATGAGAAAGCACACACTCTATGCTAATTTCTCTCTAATTTATGCTTTCATCTTTCAAGTAAATCCATAGCCCCTAGCAGCAGTGTCCAGTGAAGCAGGCAGTCAATGGACGGGGTAAAAGGGTGGGCCACTGACGCAAATCATGTAACCAGAACTGCCGAAAGAGGCGAACATGCCTTTAATAGGGGGTGTGTCTGCCTAAAGAATTGGAAGGGTAGGCTCGCATGAATGCATACTATGCAGACAGCACCCTGAGCTTGGCATAAATGCGTCTAATGATGAGTTCGCTCCACGCTTTCTAAGGACTGTCCCCTAGCACTCACTGGTCCATTCCTCTCCTTACTAGCAGGCAGACGCTCCTGGTATATAGTCTGGGACAGAGCAAAAGCTGTATGTAGTGAGTGTAGAAGAAAGGGAACATGCCACAGTGTTAGAGAGACTGAAGCAGCAAGTGTATTTGCATTGTGAACAAAGTCAGCTTTACCTTAACTAATTTCATTGTCAGCGAGTCCACACAAGTTTTGTTCCCATACATCCCTCTAAAGATTCCATACTTAAGAAAGAGTATGTGAAGCATAGTTAGGGTTGCCACCTTTCTTGGAAAAAAATACCAGCCTTACTAATTTGCATAATTAATTATGTATTCATGTAAATCACAAGGAGTGATCTAAGAGAAAATTCTGTAAAGTCACCAAAAAAATTACTTACGTTTATTCTGCTGAATAAAATATGGATTGTTCCTTGTGTCTCCCTGTCTCCCAGTGTCTTAGTGTCTCCTAGTTTTCCAGGGTCCTCACATCTCCCAGTATTCCCTAGTGTCTGTGTCCCCTATGTATCAGTGTTTCAGTTCCCCATGTGTCCCAGTGTCCCCTCATGTCTCAGTGTCTTCTATGTATCAGTGTCCCTATGTATCACAATGTCTCAGTGGCCCATGTTTCCATGTTGCCCAGTGTCACTTGGACACTAGGGGACACCTAAAAGACATGGGAACACTGTAAGACATTGGGACACTAGGGGACACTGAGACATAGGGACACTGTGGGACATGCGGGCACAGACACTAGGGACACTGGCCGAGAGACTTGGGGACATTGGGAGACATGGGGACACAGATGCTAGGGACACAGTGTCTCTGTGTCCCCATGTCCCTCAGCGTCTCCTAGTGTCTCACAGCGTCCCCTGATCTTCCAGTGTCCCCAGGTCACCCAATGTCCCCTAGTGTTTATACATAGAAATGTGCTGGTTTTACTGCAATACTGACACTGGCCAGGGAGTCTCAAATACCATAAAATACCAGCCAGATGGCAACCCTAAGAGTAATGTGTGTTAAAAAAAAAAAAAAAAAAAAGTACAAAAAAACATTTTCATCAAATTAATGGGCCTGGAGCTGCAGCTCCATCAGCCCCTATGTTCATCTGGCCCTGATGGTTTTGGGATTCTACAGGTCTGAAGTCTTTAAGGCAAGCATTAGAGATAGGAGTACGAACAGAGGTTAGACATAGGTCTTCAGTAGAGCGTAGGGGCATAGACAGGACATATTTGTGTATTAGTCAGGATAGGTAAGTCAGAGCAGCATTGTGTAGAGATTTTTAAGCAAGTGCCAGGTTCTTAAATTGAGCCCTATATCTTACGGGAAGCCAATGTAGAGGCTGACAGAGGGAGTAGGCATGGGAGGTGCGGGCGGACAGGAATTATTCCTAAATTCGAAAATGGACATGGTACTAGTAGATGTATTAGCAGCTTTCACCAGAGGGATAATATGAATGAAAAATAAGAAATATAGAGAAAGGGACAGCGCTGACAACACCTGCTAGCGATATATTTTGGGAGGCAGCTAACCCCAGAAAGGGGGGGATCCCTCTTCCCTTCCTATGGAGACAGTAAACAAAGTAAAAACAACAAAAGGGGTAGCGCCACAGAGTAATAATCCCATAGGCGTGCGCAGCCTATTGCATTAGGGTGTGCACCCTAAAGCACAAACACACGCCACGCGCGCGTGTGTGTATGTGTGTGTGTGTGTGTGTGTGTGTGTGTGTGTGTGTGTGTATATATATATATATATATATATATATATATATATATATATATATATATATATATATAAACACACACACACACACACACTGCTGTGTGTGCTGTTAGTGTGGTGTGTGTGAGGGTGCGTGTTTGTGACTGTGCTGTTTGTGTGTGAGGGTGTTTGTGTGTGTGTATGTTTGTCCTGTGAGGGTGCTGTTTGTGAGGGTGCTGTTAGTGTGCTGTGTGTGAGGGTGTTGTGTTTTTTTTAAAGGTGCTGTGTGTGTTTGTGAGGGTGCGGTTAGTGTACTGTGTATGTGTGTAGGTGCTGTATGTGTGTGTGCTGTATGTTTGGAGGGATTTGGCAGATTAGTAAATCCTTGCTGCCATGTGCCATCCCTGGTGGTCCAGTGGAGAGTGAACTCTAGCCTGCGGGGCTAGAGTTAACTCTCGCGAGATCTGAGCGTTGCCGCAGCAACGCTCAGATATCGCGAGAGGAACCTGGCGGAGCTTCTGTCTAGAGCTCCCTGGGTCCTCTACTGCCTCCCTCCATGCTGCTGTGGGCCGGTGAGGTAGATCTTTGGTCTCCCCGCCGGCCCATGAAGGCTTAGAGCAGAGCCGGCACTCAGATAGCGCCGGCTCTGCGTGTGTGTGTATATGTATATATGTATATATGTGTGTGTGTATATATGTATGTATGTATATATATATGTATATATATATATATATGTATATATATGTGTATATATGTATATATATGTATATATATGTATATGTACACACACTGACACACACACATACATACTCACAGACACACACTCACAGAAACACACACACACATACTCACAGACACACACACATACTTATAGACACACACACTCACACACACACATACTCATACTCACACACACACACAAATTATTATATTTTAATTTTAAAAAACAATGTCCACCCAGCCTCCTACCTGGAGTGCTGGTGGACTTTTCCCTGGGGTCCAGTGGGGGCAGGCGCCTTTCTCCAGCTGAGCCGCGGCGTGGGAGCTCTCTGCTGTCGGCTGTCTGCTCCCTCTTGCCGCGCGGGCTGTCTGCTGCAGCTGGGAGCCGGAATATGACGTCATATTCCGGCTCCCGGCATCAGCGCGCGGCGAGAGGGAGCAGAGAGCCGACAGCAGAGAGCTCCCACGCCGCGCGCTGAGTGGGGCGTGGGAATCCATCACCTCTTGCCCTCCCCATGACAGGGGCAAGAGGTGAAACAGGGGGCACTGAGTGCCTGCAGGAACAGCGTTCCTGCTCAAAAAAAGTGCAGGAACGCTGTTCCTGCAGGACTCAAACCATAGGCGTGCCACGGGGATTAGGGTGTGCCCAGGCACACCCGGCACACCCCGTGCGCACGCCTATGAATAATCCTTAAGATACAGTGGAAAATAGCCTCAATAAGAAAAATATGGTAATAAATACAGAAATGTCCAATATATAAAGTCCAGAGGTAGAGAAAGTCCAAAATTGGTATAACGATATGGGTGTAAATATACAATAGCCAGAGGTGGTATCCGGAGATATGAGAACTATTCTTTTATGGGGATGTCAGATATGATCAGCGGTGGATGATGAAGAGATGATGGTGCAGTATGTACTGGCAGGGAGAGTATAAAATAAATGTAGTCCTACTCACGTTTTAAGGCGCTAGAACAGGAAGAAGAGCCTCGCCGCCACATTCATTATAGACTGTAATAGGGCAAGTTGGGAACACGTAAGAAGTGGTTTACAGTAGTCAAGGCGAGAAAGGACAGCGGCATGGACAAGCACTTTAGCTGCAGCAGGATTTGGCAATTTATTGGACATGAAGGGTGAAGGAGAGGTTATAGTCAAAGAAAACACCTAGGCAGCGAGCCTGTGAGGTAGAGCTGATGGTAGCACCATTGACTTGGTAGGAAATGGACATGGGAGTAGCAACACTTGAAGGAGGTAAGACCAGAAGTTCTGTTTTGGACAGGTTAAATTTAAGGAAATGAGCAGCATTATTTTTGTGTGTTTTTAAATGAAGGAGTGTTTGTATAATATTTTAGCATTTTAATACAGGGGTGTGTTTGTATGTAATGTTTGCATGTGTATGTAGTGTTGGCTTTTAAATGAGGGTGTGCTTTTATGTGTACAGTTGGTGTTTGAATGAATGTGTTTGTATATAATTTTATAATTTGAATGCATTGGTGTGTTTGTACGAAATGTTTGAATGCTGGGATGTTTTTGCATGCTGTGTTGATGTTTGCTGTGATGTATACACATATACTGCCACATACATGCTTTCACAGATATACATACACATTCACACACAGATACATAAATATAAACATATGGATGCACACGCTGGCACATACCATGACAGATATACACAATGACACGTACACAGGTACACACACACACACAGACAGATACATACATGTTATACTTTATATATTTGTAACCACCTTCTTTTTAAATACTTTTTGTGTGCATGAGGGTGGCTTTCTTGGGGGTCTTACTAATGCTTGCTGAAGCTAATGGAGTGTGGGTGAGGACTGGTTTTATCATTGCTCCTTCTCATAGCTCCCTCTGATTGTGGGAGGAAGTGACCTTCTGTCACATCCTACCAGCATCACCAATACTATGGGCCCAATCGCACTTTTAAAGGACCTTCGCATCTGACTGGGTCCCTTTGTCTTAGGAAGATGCACAATTAATTTTGCAACATGATTAAAAGCTGATGCAGGTATGTAACTCATATCTTGTGAAGGGGCTGAAAGCATTTTCCTAAAGGAAGCGTGTTTGGCTATCTTCTTTGCAAATTTCTACTTACAGTATATAACTTCCCCATTACAACCAAGATGTGTTGTTATACACAATGCCCTCTACATATATTCTTCTACATTGCACATATCTGTTTTATCGTGTTACAACCTTAAATTAAAAAAAAAAAAAATAGGTTTGGGATTGTTACTGTTTGGTTTAACATATCTAACAATTTAAAGTAGCAAAATATATTTTGTGACACAAAAGTTAATCACACCACAAAAAAACAGAATGCTTACATATTTATTTAAAGTGACACTCCACTGCCCAAATATTACCAAAAATAGGCGACCAAAAGTCACCTTCAAGCCCAGAAGTCCCTCTAGTGGAAGAGGAGTTAACCCTAGCAGGTAATTAACCCTAAAAGATGAGTTATCCCTAGCAGTTAATTATTGCAGTTTATACAAAACTGCAATAATTACATGCTCAGGGTTAAGGGTGATGGGACATTGCACCCAGACCACTTCTGTGAGCTGAAGAGGTCTGGGTGCCTACAGTATCCCTTTAATCTTTTGGTCAGTTTTACACATGGGAATTCTGCTATTTTTGACCATTCATGCCTTTAAAAATTATATTTTCTGATATAGAGGGGGGCGGAGCCTGGCCTTGGTAAGAGATGGACGCTTAGTCCTGCAGCTCCCTCTCTCCCCGTGATAGCATCCGCCAACATCTGCGGCCACAGGCACCCCCAGTTCTTAAAAACAACACCCCCTTCCAGTTTGTCCTGGGTACACCACCTGGGCATGGGGGGATCGAGGGGAAAAAAAGAACAACCCGTCTGTCGCTACGTTGTTCCGCTCTCAGAGCACACCTCAGCGGCCATCTTGTCGAGGGGATATGGTGGACTCCAGCCCAGACTCAGCGGGCCATGGGAGCTCGACTGCAGATGACCTTACCTTAACTAAAAGGGACCTACAGGCGCTCCTACTGGATGCCACTACCGACATCAAAGCGCACACAGCGGTGGAACTGGACCGTCCTCTACAGGCCCTGAAGTCGGACATCGAGGCCTTGTCCCGACGGACCGACCAGACTGAAGCACGCTTGACAACCCTAGCTGATACCTCCCGCTCCCATTCCCAAGACATCACCTACCTCCATAGGAAAATAGCGTCATTAGAAGAGGATCTGGAGGATCTCAACAACCGGTCGCGCCGGAATAATATCCGGGTCCGGGGCCTCCCTGAGTCAGTGTCAGTGCCTCCTGATCGCCTGCAGACAACGCTAGTCGACTTGTTCCGGTCCCTGCTGCCTGAAGCACACAGAGCTCTCCGGGCCCCGGTCTTTAGCCCGGCCACCCCGAGGGATGTTATTGTTCGTCTACACAGGTTCCCAGTTAAGGAACTGCTGCTATGGAAAGCGCGGCAAAATCCACCGCTGTACCAGGGCAAGAAGGTGGCCTTTTTCCAGGACCTGGCGCCCCTGACCCTTAAAAAGAGAAGGGATCTTCGGCAGCTAACACTTACCCTCACTCATTACGGAATCCGGTACATGTGGGGCCACCCCTTTAAATTGGTGATCCGCAAGGAAAACCAGACCCACATCCTCAGTACCGCGTCGGAGATGGCCCCCTTTGCAGCATCCTTGGGCCTGGAGCTTCTCCCACCTCCCTCTCAAGCAGCATCGCGACCCAGGGGAAGACCTGGAGGGGCGACCACTGGGGCAGACCGCTCACCTCGCCGCACGCCAAGGAAGAGAGCATCGGAGATGGAAAGGAGCCCCCGGAGGCCACCACAGATGAGGCAGAGCTAAGCAGAGGGCTGCTCACTCTAGGCGGCAGCGCACTGGTCATGACACACTGGAACTATGTTCGTGATGGGGACTGCATCCCTGGACAGTAAGCGCCCGGAGAGGGCATGGGAGGGAGGAGGGTTAGAGTCCCTTAGATGGTGGTAAGGGTACCTGAAGGGGGTTATAGTCGGGGCTCCCCAGGCGAGGCTGTGGCATAAGTTGGGGGCCCAGGCCCGATATGAGGGTTGGCACTACCTACCCCTGGACTACTGGGGGCACTAGGGACGGCCCGGGCTCCGGTCTCTCCTTGCCCCCTCAACCTGCCGGTTGATAGGCTACTGGGCCACACAGCACACTATTCGGGTGGAGGGGAGGGAAGGAAGACTGCTAGACATGGGGGACGCTTACTGGCGGCAAGGAAAATAAGGGGAGAAGGGGTGGGAGGGAGGATGGGGGCATAGGGATGCAAGGTATAAGGAGGGGGAAGGATTAAAAAGAGAGAGGATGAAGAATGATCAGTGGCCAAGAAAAGAGACACAAAATTTTATTATACACAAAAAAAAAAAATAGAAAGACAAACAGGAAAGAAAGGAACGGCCAGAGAGGAGAGGAAACCGAAAAGGTGGGGGAGGACACACAAAATGAGCAGCGTGGGGGGGGGGGGGATAATGGGGAGGGAGAGGGTAACTCTGGTTTTAGAGGGGAATGCACGGGGGAAGGCACTCCAGTCTAAGAGGAGGGGGACACACTTAGGGGGTCGCAAAGGCCCACTGTTTGATGGACCGGAGGAGCGAGGGGGTCGGTTGCACACACAGGTTGACCGGCCCTCGCGACTCTCATGCCCTTGGCATGGCTTATTTCTAGGGACGACAGGCTTACCCAGCATGAGTGAGAGTACACGCACCAGCCGACCTTGATAAGGTGGCAAAGCTGCTAGCCGCTTGGAGGGGCTCCTGCACAAGCTTCCAAGCTATAGCTGTAAATGTATATAGTTCCCCACGTAACTCTAAGTTATGATATAGTTGATTCTCCATACACTACACTCTAGTGCCAGGCACACTTCACTAGCAACTGACGGGGGGAGGGGGGCTGATAGTAGTGACCTGTCTCTCCTCTCGCACCCACACCCTTTGAGACCCTTACTAGGGGCCTTCACCCAATGCATTACACCACAAGGCTCTTCTCCGGGCTTGGCACTCTTCCTTTAAGCCCAGGCCTACCCACACCAACTTTGGTTGGGGGGGTGTTTCGTTGAGTTTTGTTTTTTTTTTTTTCTCTTCCTTCCCCCTCCCATTTGTCTGTGGGGGCCGCTGCACCCTCCTCACCCGCTGGTCGGTCACTGCTATGCCTCAGGGGGACCGGGATAATCTGCCCCACCAGGGACCCACCGTGGCGGAACAACCGCTCCGGCTGAGATGCGTCTCGATTAATTGCAAAGGCCTGAATAATCCGGCTAAGAGGCATCGGGTCCTCAGATGGGCCAACAGGACTGGGGCGGATGTCATCCTTCTCCAGGAAACACATTTTGAGCATACTAGGGCATTCCCTTTGCGCAATAGACATTATACAGTCTGTCATTTAGCGAACTCTCCCTCGGGTAAACAGAATGGGGTAGCCATTCTGGTCCGTAAGATCTGCCCTATTCACTTCACATCCACAGTTGGGGATCCACTGGGGAGATACCTGACGGCAGCGGGCCACCTGGGATCACATAAATATGCCATCACGTCGGTCTATGCTCCCACAACTCCATCGGTGCACTTTTGGGACTATTTTCAGGCGCATCTGGGCCTCTTCCCTTCCCATCACGCGATTATCGGCGGGGATTTTAATGCGGTCCCGGCTCCAGAACACGACAGGCGGAGGCGGGTCCGGAGGGACTCCCACCAGGCGTCCGTCGCGAAATCAGACAAACTGCTTCAGTCCTTCCTGAAGGCAACGCAGTTAGTGGACGTATGGCGGCTCGAACATCCCCTGACAGCAGACTTCACCTTTTTCTCGCACCCTCACACCTCATACTCCCGAATTGACATGTTCCTGACATCTCCTTCCTTGCTACAGTTTCTGCACAGAACCTCTGTCGGTCAGATCACGTGGTCAGACCATGCCGACATCACGCTTTCGATACACATCCCACAGGCCAGCAGACAATGGCATTGGAGACTGAACCCCACACTCATTCATGTCCCACACATCCAGGAGAATATCAGACAGGCCATACAGAATTTTTTCGACCGCAATAAAGGGTCGGTAACTTCCAATAGCATGCTGTGGGCTGCCCATAAGGCAGTGATACGAGGCGCCCTAATTGCGGAGGCCACAGCACACAAACGGCGTAAACTGTCTCAGCTAGCACACCACCTCTCGGAACTCAGGCGCAAAGAGCACCTACATAATCTCACCCCCACCGCAGACCTCTCCCGACAGCTTCAGACACACAGACAAGCTATACAGACATTCATGACTCAAGATTCCAAGAAGGCACTCCTTTGGACCAGACAACTGTTCTATGAGAAGTCCAATAAAGCGGACTCTCTCTTGGCGAGCAGACTACGACGTAAAGCAATACACACCCGCATAACCTTGATTAGGGCCCCTGATGGGCACTTACACGATGACCCGTCCCAAATAGCGGCAGTGTTTCACCGATACTATGCCGATCTATATGATCATGACCCGCGCACCAGACAGGACTCGCACGCCTCTGAAAGAGCCGTGGAGGCCTTTCTGAGGGACATACCCCTCCCACAGCTCACGGTGGAAGCCAGGGACGCACTGGAAGCGCCCATCACGGTAGAAGAGGTGGCTGACACAATTAAGACTCTGCGCCCCAATAAATGCCCAGGCCCGGATGGGTTCTCGGGATTATACTATAAAACATTTTCTGGGGCCCTTCTCCCGCACCTTAGGGACCTGTTCACCTCCATAATTAAGGGGGAGGCGATACCTCCAGACATGTTGCCTGATACCGAAGCCAGACAAATCCCATCAGGACCCTGGACATTTCCGCCCCATTTCGCTCCTTAACGTGGACATTAGGTTACTCACTAAACTCCTGGCCAATAGGTTGCAACCTTACCTCCCGAAGCTGATTCACCCAGACCAAGTGGGTTTTATCCCATACAGACAAGCTAGTGACAACACTAGACGCACCTTTGATCTGCTGTGGGCAACCACGCGTAAAGAGTCCCCCACACTGCTGCTTTCCCTTGACGCCGAAAAGGCATTCGACCGCATTCTGTTGCCATACTTATTTGCAACACTGGACAGACTTGGACTTCCCCACGGGTTCCTGACGACAATCCGCAACCTATATTCATGCCCGACTGCACGGATACTCCTGCCGAACACCCCATCGCCCTCCTTTCACATATACAATGGTACACGACAGGGATGCCCCCTCTCGCCCCTCCTCTTTGCCCTCTCCCTCGAGCCCCTTCTCCAAAAGATAAGACTTGATCCTGTCATTAAGGGAATAACAATCCGGAAGGAGGAGTACAAGATCGCGGCTTATGCCGATGACCTTTTACTGACACTGACTGACCCTGAAGCCTCGTTGCCTCCTCTGTTACGTCTCTTAGACGACTACTCTTTGATCTCGGGATATAAGCTGAATCTGGACAAAACGGAGGCACTGGGGCTTCATATCCCCCACGAGATGGACAGGTCCCTTCGAGAACGGTATCCATTCCGTTTTCGTCTGGATTGCATCAAATATTTGGGGGTGTATCTCCCCGCGGACTTAAGCCTGACGTACCAATTGAATTATCTCCCGCTGATAGCACAGACCAAGAAAGACCTGATGGAATGGCAAAAACTGTCCATTTCCTGGTTGGGCAGGATAGCCTCAGTGAAAATGACCCTCCTTCCACGTTTTTTATACTTGTTTCAAACTCTACCCGTCCCAATCTCGAGACCAGATTTTAAAGCTTTGCAAACGCAGATAGATAAATTCATCTGGGGGGGAAGAGGATCCTAATAAAGAGGACTACTCTGTATATCCCGCATAAGAGGGGAGGGCTGGGCCTCCCGAATCTGTGGGACTACCACCAAGCTGCCCAATTAGCACAGATCCAAACCCTTCACGCACCAGCTGGGTTCAAGTTATGGGTTGACCTAGAGCACGACCTTTTTGGGCAAGACCACCCTTCACTATACTTGTGGGTGCCGAAACGCCACAGACCGGAAATGCCCTACACCACACCGGCCCTGCGGACGTCCATACAGGTTTGGGATAGGGTCGTCCGTAAGCACAACATTATAAACATGCCCTCCCCGCTCACGCCGGTACTGAGGAACACGCAATTTCCCCGGGCATGACGCCCCGAAAATATGCCCACTTTGAAGACAACAATCTAATCAGACTTTGTCATTTTTTTCAGGGCACTAGCCTTCTCCCACAATCCACCCCCTTCAACTCGTTCGATCATTTCCGTTACCTACAGCTGAGAAGCTTCTTGTCCACCCCTGACATTTTGGCGGCGGCAACGACACCACTCACAAATTTTGAGAAAATGTGCCACCACACACCTGTTCAGAAGGGCCAAATCTATACGATATTTTGGCCAGGGATTCCCCTCCGGAGGCTTTCTCATATGTGAGGGAGTGGGAGAATGACCTGGGCCCCCCAGGCGACCCTTCTGACTGGGCGGATATTTGGGAGGCCACAGCCTCTGTAACAATTTGTGTAAATCATAAGGAACAGGCATACAAAACCCTGCTCCGATGGTATGTCACCCCCTTGCGGCTCAAACAGATGCGGCAGTCGAACTCTGACCGCTGCTGGAAGGGCTGTGGGGCTCAGGGCACGTATCTCCACATGTGATGGGAATGCATACATGTCGCCGGGCTTTGGAAGGAGATTATCGGTATCACCTCCAGAGCACTGCAAATAACCCTCCCAACAGACCCATGGACATGGCTTTTATCCAAACCCTTAGAGGCCCTACCCACAGCGCAGAATAAATTAGTGGCAAAAGTAGCGCTGGCGACCCGAAGGGCGATAGCAGCTCACTGGGGTC